CATTATGACGGACCATAAACCCCTGTGCCTCTCATTTAATACGTCATATGATAGACATTGTCCACGCGAATCGCGACAACTCGATTATATCTCGAAATTCACCACGGACATTCAGTTTATCAAGGGTCATACCAACATTGTTGCAGACGCACTGTCTAGAAAGTATATCAATATGACGGTACTTAACCATGATACCAGCCTTGAAACCTTAGCCAAATTACAAGCAGACGACGAAGAATTGAAAGTCTGTAGAGAAAAGTCTAGCTTGAATCTAAAATCAGTACCCATTCCCTTCTCAGATACATCCATCATCTGTGACACTACGGACGCATCTCAAAAGGCCGTAGGGGAAGTGCTACAACAACGAGTTAATAACATGATCACACCAATAGCTTTTTTCTCTAAACGGTTATCACCCGCTGAAGAGCGGTACAGCACATTTGGACGAGAACTTTTAGCCATGTACTTAGCTGTTAAACATTTCAATTTTTACTACAGGGTCGTGATTTTACCATTATGACGGACCATAAACCCCTGTGCCTCTCATTTAATACGTCATATGATAGACATTGTCCACGCGAATCGCGACAACTCGATTATATCTCGAAATTCACCACGGACATTCAGTTTATCAAGGGTCATACCAACATTGTTGCAGACGCACTGTCTAGAAAGTATATCAATATGACGGTACTTAACCATGATACCAGCCTTGAAACCTTAGCCAAATTACAAGCAGACGACGAAGAATTGAAAGTCTGTAGAGAAAAGTCTAGCTTGAATCTAAAATCAGTACCCATTCCCTTCTCAGATACATCCATCATCTGTGACACTTCAACGAGCAACAATCTTCTCTTCGTCCCATTTACTTGTCGCAGAAAGATATTTCAACAACTACATGGACTCTCGCATCCAGGTATCAGAGCCACCACAAAGCTGATCACCGAACGTTTTGTCTGACCCAAAATGAACTCCGATATAAAACGATGGGCACGAAACTGCATACAATGTCAGCGGAGTAAAGTCCAGAGACACACAATCAGCCCAATTGGGGAATTTCATACCCCCGACAGACGTTTTCAACATATTCACTTGGATTTAGTTGGCCCCCTGCCACCGTCAAACTTTTTCACTCACATTCTCACTGTGGTCGACAGGTTCACCCGATGGGCGATTGCATGCCCTATTAAAGACACATTGGCAGAGACAGTTGCGTCAGTTTTTCTCGACCGATGGATATCGAACTTCGGAGTACCTGCAGTTATCACTACTGATCGTGGCCCCCAATTTCAATCTATTTTATTTCAGGAATTCACCAGACTCCTTGGGGTCAACCACATCAAAACAACGGCTTATCATCCAGCAGCTAATTGCATGGTTGAAAGATTTCATCGCCAATTGAAAAGCTCGCTGATGACTCAAGCTGATCCTACCAAATGGAGCGATGCCTTGACACTCGTACTCCTCGGTATTCATTCCACTATTAAACAAGACATTGGATGCACTGCTGCCGAATTAGCCTACGGTACAACATTAACATTACCAGGCCAGTTAGTCAATTGCTAATCTACAACGATATGAGATCCTTTCCGTTTTGCAAGCCGTTTTCTACAGACGATGCAGAGTATTAAACCAATACCCCGCGACAACATAGCAATCGGGTGCAACTAGATAAAAACCTTGAAACCTGCAAATTCGTTTTCGTTCGAGTTGACGCTGTCAAAAAGCCACTAAAACCACCATACGAAGGTCCTTATAAAGTAATTAAACATTTTATTATCACTCGAAATGGGAACAAAGAAACTACTTCCATTGATAGAATCAAACCAGCGTTTTACGAACCGACTAACCTTAAAGAAGTTACCATCGAAGAACAACAACCTCTCCCTTCTGCTCCTGTTAAGCCAATGGAAGACGATAAGTTTCATCTTAAACCGTCTTTAACCGGCTCCGGTAGGTTGGTAAAAAAACCTAAGCGCTACGTACATTTCGCCGACTAACAAAAATCGATTCAATTACACGCATTTATTGTTGTTACTCAATTTTCTAATAAAAGCTATTTATTTTCCTTACATGTACATTTAATAATTACATTTATTAATTATCACTGGTTTTGCCGATTTTTTTTAATAAGAAAAATTGTCATAGTAATAAACGAGTGAATGCTAACTAACTATTTATTAAATTCATCCAATTTTTTTTATTTTATGACTCTATTAACAGTTTTGCACATTTTATTATTATTATTAGCAAACCGAAACTTTGTAATGTTTGTTATTCAGTTTCATTTTGCGTAGCATAGCCTATATTATTACCGTGCCATTCATTCCTATTTCCATTTTTTTTCGTTGTTACATTAAATACTATTTTATGTACATTTATATACAATATTTCTCAATTTCTGTTCCTCATATTGTAATCAGTGTTACCTCCGGACACTCTAGGGGGAGCTATGTGGAGATAGGACAATAAAACCTATTTTGTAAATAATTTTTCATAGTTTACGCATGTATTCTCATATTCTGTACATTTAGCATTAAACAATTGTACTTGCTGTTTAAGTGTATTACTTTGAACACTTGTAACTTGACTTCCTTCCGTTTTGAGTACAACATATCGTGGCACTGTTACTGCTCCTCATTAAATACACTCTAAATCACATCTGCATCGTTCTGCTATATCTGCTAATATGTTAAATGAAATATTAATTGCATACCATCTACGTTTATAGACAATTGTGACATTCTTATTGAATTCTACGCTTGGTAAACCTACTGGATCTATATCGTCCATATTGGGATTACTAATCTCTTATAACTGTGGATTATTTGGACCAAACTCAGCCGAACACGCAATAGCCTGAAGACTTAAGTAACGTCCCTTTATTTTTTATTTGTGTGTGATTAACTTATTAACTGTTAATTGTTACATAAACTTTAGACATAATATTTTTGTTGCTAATTTTGGTTATCATACATTTTGGTCCACCACAATTTCAGTGATCAAAAGTTCACGGCGTTTATTTCAGTACGCAATGCTCACGTACGATTGAGTTACAACGGATTTTGAAGACGTTATAATTGAGCAGCTACAACAAATAGGATGACGAAGAATTTTGTTTATTTGTGAATACAGTAGTCAAATGGCTCCTGGACCTTGTGCAGATTATCATGATGTTGCCTTTCGATGTTGGAAGAAAAAATTCTGCTAGAACGGGAACTGTTTTCATCCGATCACGATTGAGACTAAAACTGAATATGATAATTCTTGCAAACCGGATAATAAAAGCACCAGTAACACTGACTGCAATCTTTTCAGTTGTTACCGAAGCTTCGACAGTTCAATGGTATGACTATCGTAGAGATTTATGTGCAATAAATTAAGAGACTTGTATGAGTCTTGTGGAGGAGTTGGGAGAATCTTAGAAATAAACTATATGTCAAAAACTGAGGAGGAATACTATGAGTTATTGAAAAGCTCGAAGAATGGTCTATCTGACGGGACTGTCGTTCTTAGTGACGAAAATCTATTCAGAAGTGAGTGTGCAACGGCATTCAGTAAGTTTAAAATTGCAGTAATAATGTGCGAACCGGCTAATGACGTACGTATCGATGTTGTGCGATGTAGTGTCTAATAGACTATGGTGTTGTGTGCGCATCAAATTGATTTGAGCTATAGTCTGAACAGGGAATAGGATAGAATGAACCAAAGAGTTCCGTGGATTGAAAAGCTTGATAGTTGGACGAGAGGAATTGAAGTGTACATATCAATTTGACGCAGAGCTAGGATAATTTTCCGCTGTTCATAATTAAGCCGGACATAATCGGTATGGTGAAGAGGGATGTTGTAACCACTTGCGGATTGCGTGTTAGTTAATAGTGGGTTTAACCGTGGAATAACTTAATTATTGTTTTCAGTCTAGTCTTTGCATTATGTTTGACTACATAAAAGTTATGGATGAATACTGTATGCAGGGATAGATAACTTGATGGATTGGTGGGTCCACCTATTCTTGTTGGTGTCCACACATAGTGCTTTCAATGATAAGAGAAGTCGGGCCTGGTGTTGGGTAGTATACTTCTGTTTCATGGAGCCCTAGTCAAAATTTCTCACTGATTGTAGAACCAGATACTTACAAGTGTAATTTCATTTTGTTCACATTAGTATTCTTATCTCTGAATGTCATGTGAAACGTTGTTTCGCAAAGACTAGGATTGAATTTACTAATCACTCTGTACAATAGTGTATGACGACAACAAACGACAAAGACCTGTGTACACCCGATATAACAAATCGTTCCAAACTCGAATCATTCAACATTGCAGTATGAGAATCCGCTTTTTAATCGGTAGTGGTAGTCAATAGGACGTATAGCAAGTATCAAAATAGAGAGTTTTCAGGATGAAGCAAATCAGAAGTAAAAAGTGAACAGCAATGAAAAGCACCTGCTAGTGGGCATAATTGTGTGAGGGTTTTCGCATTCAGTGAAACTGTTGGTGAAGCTTGTCGACTCATATCTGGTCTAAAATCATTAACATCAGCTTAATATGAAGGACATTCAATACTAGATAAATACAGTGAACATTTATCAGAGTTAACTGCAATCTTATTCTCAAGCAGATGACATAGAGAAGTAGCAAGTCACTGATTGTGAGATATTTTTTGAGAACCGTAAATATTGAGTAAGTCTCATCTGGACAAACGTCACCACTTTTAACATCACTGACTACATCATTGATCATTTCATGAAATATGGCTGTAGAGCAACTTAAATCGAAAGAAAGGTAGTTGTATTTGAACAGATCACAATGAATGGTAGTCGTTAATAAACCTGATGAAAGTTTATTCAAAGGAATCTGCAGATAGTCGTTTTTCAAATCAGCTTCACATAACACTTTAGAATAGTGAACTTGACTAGGAATATCTTTCAATTCAACTGTGGTGTGCGTTTGCTCTAACAAACAGGAATTCAATGTCAAAGACTGAATTGCTTTCTTTTCATGCATTCAACACAAGCAGTAATGAAATGTTTAGTGAAAGTATCTATATTTTCTTTGAAAGCTAATGGAGGCAAGTCTACTTTGTGCCTTTCCAAAGACAAAGCACTGAATACAATAATTGACGGTATACTGCCTATGTCAACAATGAAATTGCGGGATCAACCAAAAGAGGTACAAGACGATCTTACACGTAGTAAGTACCATTCAAAATCGTGGATGAAAATCAAATATGATCATCAGAAGTTCCATTCTTATTTGGATTTAATAACGGAGTATGGTATCATCATTGCCGAATTGAACAGAAGTCCAGCAAACCAACATAATCCAGTGTTGTAAACTCTTGCATAACTTCTACTACAAGTTTTTATTGAATGAAAACAATCACATATGCATTACAAACCATAGTTTAAATTTCACTCACAAAAGTACATTAGTTACTATGTGAACAACCATAAAAGTGGTATGTAGTTCAACGAGAAAATCTGCAATTTATTGAAATGATTAACAAAATACAAAGTGTTTTTAATAAACTACAAAATGGAAACAACATAGTCAACATGATGAAAACAAGCGACAAGTCTTTTATGAAAGCGATGGCATACATTTCTTTTTCCTGTACAACCATAGGCATATGACACAGCCACTGCACACAACCAAGAAGCCGATAACTACAGGTATGACAATGTGTAGGTAATGATTTGATTTCCCGTGTCCGTTGTCAGATTCACTTATCCTTGGAGTTGTTGTAGCTTCTTCCACAACGATTGGTGTGATCGAAACGTGGACATTCGAGCTATTCTGAAGAACAAAACAGTAGCAATATTACTAAATACCAAATATTAATCAAATAATTCATCATCAGTATTAATGACAGAAGTGAATCCAACAAATCCAACCAAATGCTATTCGAACACACCAAAAGCATGTCGCGATCTAAGTAACATCACATAACTTTTGTTTGAGTTTATGAATTATAATCGATATAGTATACATGAGCCTTTGGACTGAATAACTTTATTGTCATTTTTGAGTTCATATACATTTTGGTCCACCACATAACTAACGACTTATATTTGTGTGATGAAATTTGTTCCCTGGATGTCAAGTCTTATCACCATCTAAATGTTAATCAACAAAATTAAAAATGACGGCTTCATTGAAGCAATCCATACAGGATACATATTTTTCAACAACGAATCGGAAATACTTGTTCTGAACATCAACAATCAGAGTCTACGAGCTTATACTCATTATCCAAACATGATAAAGAATTTCCGACAGATGACACCTCCTCAGTCAAACTGATTTCATTGATATTTTGTAACAAGTCACACAGATAGGCGGTTTCAAATTGAACATTGGGAATCACTACACATTCTATGAGCTTGAAAATTAACGTGTTTCCAGGCATTAGTGTTCAACAACGCTCTCATTCATTGTTGAATGTCCACATAGAAACAAAGCATTGTACTCATGTCTCATTAAATATCGTCAAACTATACAATGCATTGATTTATGCACTAAGGGAACCATACAAATAACTACTTATTCGTAGCAATAAAATGTTCTCTCTAGTAAATGAATTTACAATGTGGATTTTGGTAATATTAAAAACCATTTGTTATGTCTACCAATGACTTACTCCAATCTGGCAACTATTTACTTTGAAGTCATCAATATCCTTATCAGTGCTGACGATGCACATATTTGCTTTTTCATACCACATGCACCTTGTATTCGATGTTTTTGATTCTTGACATATCTCCATCGAATCGTGTTTTGGACAATCTTCAGTGAAAGGAATAAGGTGATTGCATTTCAAATTATCAAAGAAAAGATAAATGAATAACAAAACATGTAACCATAATTCAATGATACAATGATGATTTCGGATTTGAATTACCATTTCATTCACTGGGAATTTGTCATCACATTGCACAATGCGAAATTCAGTACACTTTCAATGTCAATCACATTTCATGACAATATGTTGTGATTGAATAAAACTATGTTGAATTTTGAACGACGAGTTTTGACTAGTTGGATCATGAGATATCATGTATGGTAAACAATATTTTTTTCTGCGAATATTGAAGTAAAACTGAACATTAAATTGTGGAATGATTCTCTCAGTTGTTACTTCAGTAGTCTAACACATGATGACCTGAAAAATGTATGTGGTTACTCATTGTACATATTTATATAGAAGGAATTATGCAATTGTCTTCAAGGTAATTACAATTTTATGAAGTGTTTCTGCGATTTCAAGACCTCGGAAAAACTTGACATTTAATGTACCAAATGAGAAAAACAATGGACACTTTCAATTTAATGCACAATCAACAAACTAATTATTACAATCTCATCCATCGTTTCATGAGATTGTGTTTAAGTAAATTTCATAGATGTGAGGACTTCCGTAGTAGTCCAAAATGTGTTCTTAATTGTTATAAATACTCAACAGTGAATCGAAGTGTAGTGTGACGTCAGTTGAAACTGATGGTTGGATGTCATTTAATAACTGACTGAAATGACACATGAAATTTCCAGTTTTATGAATCAGAAGTGATGCATTCGAGTGTGAAAATAGTCAACTCTGATAAAATATGGTTAAACATACCACCGGAAACTTTATACTCCACTAACGTTCCACTTTTGATCCATTTTTTAACAACAAATGTATGTAACTTTCTCTCACCTTGTGTAAGAAAATGTACAAAAGAATACACATAATAAAATGTCCATTTCCATTTCAAGTATAACAAGTTGTTTGCTCGAATAATGAGCGAACAAAATAAGAAACTTCAATTTCTGATCACAGACACAGTGACGGTCAAACAACATCTTCAAAAACTATGCTTCACATCACTTTCTGCTTCAGAAAGTAACCAATGTTCAACCAGTAAATGGAGAATGATATTGTCCAATTTGTGATTTATGTTACAAGGGTGTCAGTGCGAATTCTTCTGAAAAATCTGTTTCACCGGTCACAAATTATTTCACAAATGGTCAACATTGTGCATTACTGTGAAAAGTCTCAGCAATATATTCAAACAGATCATCATATACCTCGTGACCAAATAGATGATGCATTTCATCATACTCAATCACAAAACACTGCATACAACCTATTCATTTACACTAAATGCTTGTCTTAAAACTCAGCTTCATCTTACAACAACATACAATCATGTCAGTGTAGTATGACGATTGAGCATTATTTAAGACAACTATCAGATCTGTTTGACAAATTAAACCTTCTTTTGCATAGAGTAGTGATATCAATGAGGACTGCAGGCTTGACTGGTAGAATGGTGAGTGAGTCAATAAATGAGTAGATAAATTGTCTGCCTAATTTCCTCGTTCATATATCCCTGTCTTGATCACTCAATGGCTAAACATATGCGAAAGACATTTCCAAATATCCATCCGCACTTTGTCGAAGAAGATATCTGCACACCATAGTTATATTACACAGTATATCAGGTTAGAAAGACATGGATCATGAAATTCATTGTTGATGGAATTTCGCACAGAAAACCGTACTAACACCATGACGATTTTATCACAACAACAAGCATGACGGTCGTTGAAATGATGACACAAATACTTGATTTAGATTCAGATAATTTCAGTGTCGAACAGATCGACAGACCTAATCACAAACACAAGGCTTCTTCACAATGAGTTTCCACTATGACTTTATCACAAGTGATACTACAGTTTTGCTTCAAGATGTGTAAACTCCTAACTCAAGTTGAATTTTCAATAAACAGTCACGTTTGAAAAGTGAGTTTTTGAAAAGTATTCCGATTTTGTTTCACACAATTTTGTTCAGCAATTTAATGAAACATCAATCAACTTATTTTGCACACGAAACAACTGATTGATGTGGACTGTAAGAAAGATATATTAGATCACTATGATAGATTACAGTCAATTTCTGTGTTGACATAATGATACTCAGGTACAAATAGAAAGAAACATTTGACAAACAGATGATTGTTCATGTAGGTCAGTGGAAATCAGAATAAAAATATCAATCGTTACCTCCTTCACACGCTAATGAACCGCTTAATCGCGATTGGAATTGTAGTCCGAATTCTTGAGTCATCTGGAAAGAAATAAAGGAATTCTGAGTCAAGGTCTGTCAACACACAACCACCTATATCAAAACCAAATAACCGTTGAAGCGATGTGTCGTCGATCACTTACAGTAAGCGTACTGATCTCCTATGTTCCCTTAGAACTATGCTCCATCTAAATCCACATGGTATTGTTCGTTTGAGCCTTCCCATTGATTTTTGGGACTGCAATTGATTAGTCTCTTGTGCCCCATCTAGACTACAAAGATATTCTGACTCCCTCCAGTTGTCAACTTCAGTGAAATTAGATGAACGATCTATCTATCATGAAATGATGCGATACATTGTGAGATGAATATCCACGTCCGTTGGAAGGAATGTGATTGTGAATAACTAAAATGTTACTGCACATGAATTTGTTATCATTTGCTGGAATTGTGTCAATGTGTTCACTTGCATCCATTACTGTTCATTACCTTTGAGAATTCTTTCCACAATATGTCCGGATTACCTCGAAATAATCAAAACTGATTCAGTTGAACACACATGAAATCTTTCATCTCACTAGCTCTTTCTAGTTATCCACCATCTGTTGTATTGCATATGGGTGGGTTACTTACTATTGACATTCGAATAGCCACGTGCAGTGAAACGATCAAGATATTAGTAATAAGTCACTCTGAATATTCAACAGTGAACTTTTCAAACAGCTGATCTTAAGAACACCTAGAAAAGCTTCACAGAATATGACTGTCCCCGTACAGTACTCTAACATACACTGTTTGTATTAAATCGGTCCAAAGAAATACGTATTTCCTCAGATATCACATCACTTCTTATTATTCAGTAATTTAAACAAAAGCCAAAATAAAGTGTCACTAAGGTATTAGTAACCGTGTCATATAGTCAGTGTGTACATTACAAAATGGTGATTTCTTCTAATTGTATCTTGTTGCATTCGACAGTATTGATATGCATGAAATAATAGAAGAGTCTGAAGTACTTGAAATAAAACTATATTCCTATTCAATTGTGCAACTTACGTTATCATAATACACAGATATCTTCCCATTCGGAAGTATCAGATGAGTTATCTTGAATGTACGTTCTGTAAACAAAAGATTATCGAAATTTAGAATTTGAGGAATTCATGATGACCACGTTATTGGTAGATGTAACACTGTATGTGCTACTCACACAGTGATCATATTTTAGCAGATATTTACCATATTATCTCACATGTTTTCTTCA